AAAAAGAGAGAGAGAGAGAGAGAGAGAAAGTCCCTGCAACTCCTAAACAGAACAGGTCTCATGGAATGCAAAGGAAAAGCCACCCAAAGATGTTCAGAAAGTACCTCTGAATGACGTTCTACACTTCCAGTGTCTGATCCAGAGTGCTGCTCATTGACATCATCCTCACCATCTGACCCTGAGTCCCGTTCATCCTGAACTGGGGTAGCGCCTCCATCATCTGCTCAAAAATAAACAAAACCCACTTATAATGTAATATGGATGACATCTATGACCAAAGAGAACACATTCAATCAAGAATAATATAAGGGTAAAATCTACCACTCATAAAGTTAACTATGCTAATATTCTGAACAATCATCATACAAATACCAACAATCATAACATGTACTATGCCATAAGTGGCATAAGAATATATTATAAATGGAATGTGTATCTTATGAAACATTACTAAAGACCAGCTCAGCAACTTCGAGCTAATAGTGCACTGTTTAACTATAATATTTTATGTTAAAAATGGAGTCTGTCTCTCCCCAACACTTGCCACCTTCTAATGTACTATGTGTTTTACCAAGTTATTTTGTTTAATGTGGACTTTTTTCCGCTTGAATGAAAATGCCACAAGAGGATTTCAGTTCACTGCTGACTTCCAAGAGCCCAAAACACTGATTGGTATATGGTATACAATATTTATGAATGGCAAGCACAAGGAACTCTAATCCAAAAATGTTGGGAAAAAAATTATTAAAAATAATTTGTATTGAGAATAATTTAGGGCTGTTTCAGGGTATACCAAGATTTGGTAAGAGGTTCAAGAAAAATAAACACGTTTTTAAAAAATGAAGTAGTCAACTAACTATAGGAAAACAAAAACATTACACTGTACACAAATGAAATCACTATCATAAAGAAATAAAAATATATAACTACAATAAGAATAGCTTTTGGTTTTTTTTTTTGTGGAGGTTTTTTCCTATAGAGCGCATGCGCTCGCCAGAAAGACAGAGACAGACAGAGAGACGGAGAGACAGAAAGCGAGAAATCACCCCCCAGGTGGGTGGCCACGCTGCAATCCCTTCTCCTCCATTCTCCTCTCAGGATCTTGGGCATGAACGTACACACACCCAGCGTGAATTTAAGCCACTGGGTCCCAGCCTGGAACCAGGCCTGGAACCGCAGTAGACTACATGGGAGTCCAGCGACACAGCCATTAAACTAACTGCTGGTCCCAATAAGAATAGTTTTGAAGTTTAATTTTAAAAAGTAAAAGGACTAAGGAAATAGCTCTTAAGTTTTTAGCTTCTAGCACTGTCCTAGCATAATAAGAAAACATCACAAAATGCCTAAAACGATGCAACAAGAAATAACATAAAATAGGAATGCAGAAGTAAACACCAAAACCACCAAGAGAATGGAAAGTCGGTGGAAAAGGTAAGAGGTAAGTCAGAGAACTGTCCTTTCTTGTTATCTCTTTTTATCACTTAGCCCATGTACATGTATTACATGTAATTATCTATGAAGTAATTGAAAAACGACTTGAAAAACTTCTTGCACGTTTTTAAACAAAACAGCAGTACGTGCTTAAAAAAAAAACAAACAAAAAAACAAAACCAACCTTCCCAGTCATTACTGTTCGCTATACAAAGCAAAATCAAAACGCAAAGAGCTTAACGATTAAGCAATTGTTTTGAGCACTTTTAGTACAGAACACTCAAATGTAACTACTACACACAAAAGCAAGCAGTGTTTTCATCCACTAGGTTCTGCCTCACTCATCCTTTGTAACTTGGTGTCTAGGACAGTGCTAGCAGCGTGGAGCCCAGAAAGGTTTACTAAAAACAACGCAAAACCTCGGTGAAGAGAAACGGTAAAGATCTCAAGTTGAAAGAAAGGAACAAAAAGCACCAAAAAGGCCCAGATAATGCACTCCTTACTCTAAAATACTCATGCAATTAAATCAAAGATCCTGCATCATCTTAGTGGGAAACCAGTGTTGCGGGCAAAGTTAAATTGGCTCTAAGTTCGAGTGAAGTCTAGGAAGGACCCCTGCCACACAGAACAGTTCCCCAGGATTCCCGACAAACTCAATTTCTGATAAATTCCTTTACAGGACAGACCTCTTTCCTAACACTGTGCACGTGGCAGGAGCTTAAGCTTTCCCGCTAGAACGCCCACTTTCAAGGTTCCTCCTTCCCGGCCTGCAGCTGGTGGGCGGGCTCTGCCCACTACTGGCTGCGCACCTGGACAGGGGGACCTCCCCGGGGCCTCCTTCCCCTCCCCCGCCGGGTGCGAGACCAAGCCCCGGCGAGGAACCGCCGCGCCTTTCCTGGCGGTGTAACCACCCCCCCGACCGCGAGGCTCCGTGTTCACGGGCTCCCGCCCGACCGGAGAGTTTGTAGGATGCGGAGAATATGAAAGCAGCAGCTGAAGAAGCGAAGGCTCCAACTTGGAAGCCCGGGCTGAAAAGGGGGAACCCGTAAGGCAGGCAGGCGTGCGGGCCGGCGATCGACTTCCCAGAAGCACCTCTGGGGCCAAAATGGCGCCTGCCTACGACCCTCAAGGGAATGCAGCGCGCAGGCGCCGTCTCCCGTCAGCCGGCCAATGAAGAGAGGTAACGGAAGTGACGCAAACGTGACCAGAAAGGAGACTGCCGGGAAAACTTAGTGGGAACTTAGGTTTCAGTTAAATACCTTTGTTAGGGGAATCCTTGTCTGTACTATGGGAATGTGTCTACGCTGTGTTTGAGGAGCTTATGAGTTGCTGTTACCCAAAAAATGAAGACCTGCTGAAATTACATCTTTCGTTAGGCCGAAAAGCCGCCGTTCCCGTCATGCAGCGACCATGATTCCCGCCCTTCATACGTGTGGAAGTGGCGCGTGGCTCTCTGGGACTTGTAGTTGGACACCTGCGGAGATTCAGCGCGTTACCTACGGATGTGATCAGAAGCACCTCGCTCGCTTCAAGCACTTTTGTTCCGTCTTTTCTTTGTAAAAGAACAACTGAATTTCCATTGTAAGAAGCCATTTGGTGAACAGTAAGAAGTACAGGTCTTTGCTTCTAGAAAGAAGAAACATTAAGAGGGGCACCGTTGAACTTTACTTGAACCCACGCTCACGGAAAACAACGATGATTGAGAAACCTGGCTTGCCGGTGTTCCTGTAACTGCTCGCTGTAGATAACCACCCTTCATGTGACAGATACAACGCTTGGGGGTGGGCCCTTGTTTACTCATGGCCAGCCCACGCAGAAGTAGTTTCCCTTTTGTCTGAACCTATTGGTAAGGCTAGATTACGTTCTTGGTCTCAAGACTGAGTAGGGAAAAAAAAAATCACATTATACTCCATAAATATGTGCAATTATTGCGGCAGTTAATTATTTTGGTGACTTGGTGGCCAAGGAAGCCGCAGTTCATACGGCTGATGGAAGAGTTGGAATCTCAAGCTGCCTGGAGTGTGTACCTGGAGCAAGTCCTGCTGATGGAGAAATGAAGAAAAGATTGCTTCGTTTGCTTGCTCCCATTGAGTAATGCTTTCTCCCTCTTCCTCTCCTCCCCTTGTCTCTGTCTCCATCTCTCTTTGGCCGGTGCAAGCACTGTCTGGCAATTTAAGAAAAAAAAAAGTAAGGACAAGAATATGTTTTCAAATTAATAATGATTAATTTTATTATTATTTTTAAAATTTTTGCTGTAAGGTACACACACTTGCAAGAGAGAGAGAAAGTAAGAAAGCTAGCTGCCAGGTCCAGGACTCTAAAAGCAGTCAGTCATGTGGGAGTCCGGCACCTTGACCACCACAGTACCTGCTGGCCCAAGAACAGAGAGTTTTTTAACAGTGGATTCAAACTATTAGAAGAAGGTAATAGAAGATAAGCCAGAAGCAACACAAGTGTGAGGATAAAATCACTTTTTAGTAAATATCTGGACTAACATATCAAAATGGAGAATATAAATTACAACATATACAATCTGTTTTTTCAAAGTTGGTTTTAGAGAACACAGGGCAAGCCCCATATGCTAGTGGTTAAAGGGAGCCAGATAGCACATGGCCAACTATGGCTGGAATTCCAGCCCGGCAGCTTCACACTTGGTGTATGTGTATGCATACCTGCCCCAAATCCTTATAGGATGGAGAAATGGAGAAGGGATTGTGTATGACCACACTCCACTGGGAGGTGATTTTTCCCTCTCATTTCTCTCAGGTGAGCACATGTGCCCTCTAGCAATTCGAAAAAAAAAATTAAATTGTGTATGCCCTGGCATACACACATGCACACACTTATATGCCCTGGCTGTATGCCCCAGATGTGGAAAATAGACAATTTTTTTTCTTTTAAATTTTTTATTCCCAGAGGTGCTTTCACTGCCAGAGGGAGAGAGAGAAAGCACTCCTCCCCCACCCCTATGGAGTGTAGTCATGCTGAAATCCCTTTTCCTTTTCTCTATTCTCTGGGGATTGTGGGCATGCCTGCACAGGTACCTGGTGTGTTTTTCAAGCTGCCAGGGTTGGGATTCAAACCACGGTTGGCCCTGTGTGATCTAGCCACTAGGCCACAAGGCCAGCCCTAGACAAAACTACTTCTTTGGGGTAAAGGGTAAAGTAAGTTAATTCGCATGTATTAAAATTTTTTTTCTTTCTTTCTTTCTTTCTTTCTTTCTTTCTTTCTTTCTTTCTTTCTTTCTTTCTTTCCTTCTTTCTTTCCTTTTGGAGATGTTTTTGCTGTAGGGCACATGAGCTCACCAGAAAGACAGACAGAGATAGAGAGATGGAAAGTGAGAAATCCCCCCCCAGGGGGGATGACCATGCCACAATCCCTCTCCTCCATTCTCCTCTCAGGATTTTGAGCCTGCAGGTGCAAGTGCCTTGCGTGAGTTTTAAGCTGCTGGGTCCAGGACTTGAACTGCGGTCAACTACATGGGAGTCCAGCGACATAGCTATTACGCCAACTACTGGTTCCAATACATGTTTTTAAATATTTTGTGGGACCAGCAGATGGTGTGATGGTTACATTGCTGGACTCCTACATAGTCAACCATGGTTCAAGTCCTGGACCCAGCAGCTTAAAACTCACGCAAGGCACTTGCACCTGCAGGCTCAAAATATGGAGAGAAGAGTGGAGGAAGAGGGATTGCAACATGACCATCTCCCCAGGGGGTACTTCCTTGCTCTCTGTCTCTCTCTGTCTCTCTGGCGAGCACACATGCTCTATAGCAAAAATCTCTCT